CACACACACACACACACACACACACACACTCACACTTATGAGGTTTCCACCGTCGTGTCGTTAGAAAACTGTGAAAAATGAAAAAGTATCAAAACTGTGGCTCGATATCATCATCATCTTCATCATCATCATCATCATCATCATCCTGCATTTGTCGTCTTCATCCTCGTCATTCGTTGGTCAGGACTGAATCAGATGTTGTCGTCGTCGTCGTCGTCGTTCTCTGATGCAGATGATGTTGTTGTCGTTGTCGTTGTCGTCGTCGTTGTTGTTGTCGTTGTTGTTGTCGTTGTTGTCGTTCTCTGGTGCAGATGTTGCTGATTTATATCAGTCATTTCTGTCAAACCTTTGATTTGATCACTTTTTAATTCAACCTCAGAAATGAAGCGTTTTCAAATCAGAACAAACATTTTTAACCAAACTTGGATGGAAACCTGTTCAAATGAGGCCATAACTTATTATAAACATGTTTAATACATGTTTTTTTAATTGATTATTGTTAATTCAAGTTACCAACGTTGGTCGTTGCTCATCAAGCATGGATTTTTATTATAAGGCATTAAAATAAATAAACATATATATTAAGTAAGTATACGTTTCCATGGGCCAAACAAAATGACTTGGCGGGCCACATTTGGCCCTCGAGCCTTCAGTTTGACACACATGATTTAAATGAAGTGGATTTCAGTCTTTAGATCATGAAAAGCTTTTCATCTCTCAATTAAAGCAACTCTTGGGAGTTGACATGCACTCTCCCCCCGTCCCCTGCCCCCCGACCCCTCCCCTCTGACCCCCCCTCAAAGAACGTTCAGGTGTAAAGTCCCATCAATGATGATCTGAAGCACAGCTAACGCTAACGCTAACCGCTAACTGACCCAGTAAAAAGATTCACGTCGTCCTTCACTTCACCAGCTGTGAAGTGTCTGTAAAAAAACACTTTTATTTCTTCCTTTCTCCGACAATGGAGGCAAACCTGGCAACCCCAGCGTGGCGTCAAGACTGCGTGAGGCCGTCCTCAGTCAAAGGTCCCGGCTGCGCCGCGCCAATAAATCCTGAGCGCTGTTAAAACCTCACTCTTGTTCCTGTGAACGGAGAGACTTCTAGTAAATCCAGGCCCCGGTTCTGTGTAAAAAAAAAAACAACTCTCAGTCCTTTGTGGAGTTGGAGTTGAAGCAGGGTCAAAGGTCGTCGGCCGAGGACGGGGGTCTCCACGAATCCTGAAGTTGGATTAGTGTTCATACATCGTGCTGTGTTTTGACTGTGTTCAAACTGTGACGTTTTCTCGTGATTTTGATCAGTTTTTGTCTTCGGTTGATGGTGATTGAACCCCATCTGTTTTGGTACCGATGATGTGGAACTGTTTCTGAGTGAGAACCTCTCTCAGTTCTGAGGACCGTGCCTCTGAGATCAGACTAAAGCAGCTGCAGGTTTTATTAGAGCGGCCTTTTGTCAAGTGGATTCAATCACTCGCCCCTCGTGTTCCCTCTGGCAGCTGTGGTTTTACCGACGCCGCTTTGTCACTGG